TGATAAAGAATTTTGAGTGGATTCAAAAGGTTAGCTGCTTTAGCCTTAGCAAAGCAACGTGCATTGTAGAAAGCTTTTCTCACTAAGTTCATCTCCCAAGGTTCTTTTTCATTTATTAGAGCATGACAGAATACATAGCTTAATAGAATCTAACATCCAGCATCTAAATTTTCCTTTCAAAAGAACATTTGAAACTCATTTACTTATATTTTCAAAGAATTTGTCAATCTGCACTACTTTACAATCGATTCTACAATGCATCTAAAAGGAAGAACAAATTCACAATTAACAACCTAGGCTAAAGAATAGTATAAGAAAAAATGACAACAATAAAAGGATAGCATTCTCAACAACACATCGTATTATTTTCATTTGTTTATGAAAGATGTAATAATATAGCCGCCACCTTAATTTTAAGATGGAAATATCTGAAGCTGAAGAGTTGGGAAGGGAATCAAGCTCTCCAAATTTATCAATAAAAAGAGAAGTAGTGCAACAATATATGCAGATATATTATAATTTAAGCTATTAAAAAGAAAAGAAATATACCTCAATGATAAGTCTGTAGCTTTATTCCAGATTTCACTCAGGTAACAATTGGCTTTGGTGGTTATAGCTGATGAATATATGTAAGAAAAGTTAGCTTCCAACAATTAGAAGAAGAAGAAGAAGGCTATCCTTGTTTGTATCTATATCAGAGTGTGAGTTTGAGTGTAGGTTTTTACCTCATCATTATTTATTCGGACGTGAGGGATGGTACGGGTGAGAGACCAATATTCTCCTTTCTCCTCAAAGCGTTGTAGTTTTAGAAGCGGACATTTAAAGATGGAGAGAGATCCAAGCGACAGAGGCAGGCCTTCCCTCGGCAAGGACCGTAGCTTTGGGCAGTCCCAAATCCATAAAGATTGAAGAGAGTTGAGGTTTTGGAGGAGCCCTCTGGGTATGGATTTCAGATTCTTTGCATTTTCTATCCGTAGATATGTTAAAGAAGAAGGAAGCACAATATCCAGAAGAGGAGCACACGTGTTATAAATGCTAAAGCTTTGAAGAGAGGTAAGATTGCGGAGGCCCCGTTCCACTGCCGGCTGCTTCAGATACTTACCGTCTAAGTAAAGATCTGTTAAGTTTGGGGGAAAACCCCCATCTGGAATGGATTTGATGCCTGGACAACCAGTTATCCTCAGTATCTGAATCGATGTAAGCTCATTCATTGTATTTGGTAGGAAGTTGAGATTCTGACAATTTACTAATTTAAGATCTGTGAAGTTTGGGGGAAAACCCCCATCTGGAATGCGCTCCAACCGTGGGCAATCGTCAATGCTCAAAGATCTAAGATTGGGCAAGGAGAGGCCCATTTCTGGGAGGAATTCTAAAACTGCACAACCCCAAATCTGCAAATCACGAAGATTGCTGAGGCCATCAAGTGATAAGCTTCTCAATACTTCACAATCCTCGATTCGAATGAATTCAAGTCCCCTACAATGTTGCAGCAGCCTCTCTTGAAATGATTCCAACCTCTTGCAACCTTCAATAGTAAATTTCTTGAGAGAAGCTGGCAGATGACCACTCCCAACAGAATTTAGAGATGGAAGTTCCTCTATTCTCAAAGATTCAAGATTGCTTTTGCTTTCACCATTATCTTGTAATAATACTCCATCTGGTAAAGACTCAAAATTTGCACATCCATCAATTATCAAGTGTTTAACCGTGGTGGTGGGTAGACACTTGAGAGAATCACAATTGTAGATGCTTAATGATTCAAGTCTCAATACGTTGTTGCTGCTACTGCTTCCATCTACCTTCATCATCATCGCATCAGTTAATGACTCTAAAGCCTTGCAACTTGAAAGTGTGAGATGTTTAAGATTGAAAGGAAGAAGGCCATGTTCTTTCCCTGTCAATGAAACAAGAAGAGGGCAGCTCCCAATGTTCATTTTCTCAAGACGAGCAAGGTTTTCTATCTCGGCACCTTCCTCCCATAAACAAGTAAGCTCGAGGCATTCTTTAATCTCCACCTTCTCAACTGCTATCAAGGACTCAATAAAACTCCTAGCCAAGCAAACAAGTCCTGAAATTCTCTTAATTTCCAAGCTAGTAAGAGAGATGAGATCAACCAAGCTATTCAAAAAGACCACATTGCAGTCTTCAATATTCAGCTTTTGTAGTGATTGAAGACTCATAGATGATGGGCATCTTAACTCTGGGCATCCTCTGATTACAAGATTTGTAAGACAAGACAAGTGGCTAGGTAATTCTCCCATCAGCTTAGGACAATTTTCAATCACAAGCTCACGAAGACATGGGAATCCCACTCCGCCTTCTATTGTTGAAGTCCATTCCTTCAAAGCTAACATGCGACGAAACTCCAGCTTCTTAAGAGATTGAAAAGTGCCATGCCCATAAAACTTAGAATCAACCGTTTCTATTGCATCCATGCCTTCCACAATCAATTCTTTGAGTGCTGGTAATTGCCCCAATGATGGTAATAAAGTGCTGCTTCTACACTCACACAGCTTCAAGTATGATAAATTAGAAAATGATGGACAACTAAACCAGGACGGGAATTCCTTGCCACCATAGCAAATAATTGAGAGACTTTTCAATTTTAGATGTGGTTTTAACCTGCTAAGGACCTCCATTTCCTTGTCT